AATTTTTTTTTCTCACAACTAAAAACTAGCTCCACTTCCTAAGTCTCAAGGAGATTTAGTTTAAGCATCATTCCATCCTGTAAGTGGCAAGTGTACTTAGTGTTGAATATGAAAGAAATATAATTTAAAAATCATACCACATTAAATAGGGTCTTAATACTACCTATACTGTAGGACTACCATGGTAAAAAACAGGCATCAGGTTGTTCAGTGTGAACTTGGCCAAGCTAAGATCATGATAAAACTCATGTTAGCATGAGTTGAGAAATGAGTTGAGACATCATTATGTTGGTCCTTGATTTGACTAAGGGAATGTTTCTACTGAGAAGAAAAAATTGATTTAAACGAGTTAAAACGGACATAGGTCTATATAGCCTAGGCCTCTCTGCTCTTTTGGGCACTCATTAAAAAGTGGATAAACAAATCGATTATTTTGTGTTTATCAGTAGAAACACGCCTTAAGACTGTGATTTCTTATTCTTGAACACAAGTTCAATCAATCAGCATGATGTAACTTCCAAAGTAAACCTATTATATTCAAGCTGACAAGTCTTACATTTTAATTTAGTCTACTACAGGACAAAAAATTTGGTAGGAGATACAGATTTCAGTGAAGATAAAATGTTTTGTACAACATATAATTAAAAATTGTATAAATGTCTCTTGGAATACCGTACATGTTTATAAATACAAGCATTTTTTAAAAATCAAAATATTCTACTGTTCATGTAAGAAAAAAATTGTAATAAGATCATTAATAACTTATTATTATCACTGAAAATTATAGAATCCATGTTCCAACATTTTGCAAAAAAAGGAATCTGCCACCAGAGCCAGACAAATAAAACGTGCCTGAGTTGAAAACAAGCAATCCCGACAGAGATATTTAATTTGGTTTTGCGATACAATGCGATATCACTAAAACATTTATATATATAATATTAATTTATTAACTGTTCATGTTTGTTTACTTTATAATCTGAGTGATAGTTACGACCTTTGCCTTTTGATTTTTTTTATCAACCTGATTTTCACTTGCAAATGTATTCGCGCAAGTCGAAAGCATCTGTTCATGCGTATGCGCATTCACATTTCTATTTTGCAAAGCGAAAAAAGTGTGCAACCAATTAGAGCTCAGGAAGCGAACTGACATCTTCGATTCGAGCGAATAAATTTTCCTGGTGGAAAACAGGCTTTACCTGCTTATAATTTTGTATTTTTTGTTGTTGCAGTGTAAAATAATAAGGAAAGAGTGAAACTTGTTTGTTTGGGTTAATTGCTTATTATTCTCTTTCCAGGCAAACTATATATCTTGAAATACCATTTAAACATTGTTATTATTAATATATAGCTTGGCTGACATAATTCCTTCAATTAAACTGTGTTTGTTTACTTTTTAATCTGAGTCATTTTTGACCTTTGGATTTTGATTTTTTTTTTATCAACCTGTAGTTTGTAACTTTTAACTACTACTGTTTATAATTTTGTATTCTTTTCCTGGCATTAGCTGGGTTGAAACAATTCCTTAAAATAATCTCAAACACCGTAGTACAAAAACTAAAAACAAGATTTTTTACCTTACACAGTTGCACAATATTATAAAACTGAAAATATACAAAACAAATTTCATCTCACTTTGCTAAATTAAAGGCTATAAAAGTGGCAAATCCTGTCATCAACAGTAGTTGACAGGAAGCCAATGTTATGTTAACATTACATTTTGTCACTTGACCCAAAGACCTAAATACAATGTATTGTCTTGTCTAAAAAAACTTTTTTTTTTCAATTTTACACTTTTTTTTTTATCACAGCCAGTAAAATTTTGCCCAGGCTCACTGTTCTTATTTTTTGGCTGATTTTTAGGCTCAAAATGTTCTTATTTTGCACAGTCTGTACTGAAATGTAGGTCCCGGAAAAAATTGCCCTAAAGAAAATGCCCTGGAAAAATGACCCCAAAAAAAATGCCCCAGTAAAAGTGGCCCCAAATGACAGGAGGAACACCTACTGTATTGTATTATAAAGGGTATTGCATACTGTAGTCACACCTACTGCACATAAGGTACAGATGTTTTGCTTTTGATTTTTTCTAGTTTTTTTTTTAAATAAAAATCTCATTTGACATTTTACCTCAATTTGTTCTTAAAGTATTAATTCTATTCTTAATTTTTAAGCAATTTGAGCCTCAGTGTTCTTATAAAAAAAAGTGTAATTGTTTTGATACCATTCTAAAACACCTTTCTTGAAAAGAGTACAGAACCCCTATTATTAAGGGGGATACCTTCAGGATGAAAAAAAGTGTCCCATTAATAGGGAAGGGGTGTACCCTGAATAGGGATTGGTTGTAGTATTAAAAGATTTCCCTAATTTCCCTCACTTCAAGGCCCAAAAACTTTCCCCAAGGGGTGTCCCAATGGATTTTAAAAAGTGGGATTTATGAAGAGCACTTCACAAAAAGCAGATGGTATCATGTCAATACTGCTCATAGCTTTGCTTTTCAATCTTTGTTTACTTTTGAAAAAGCTTATTAATAAATTTATCTGTTGGGTTCTCCATTCATTACATTACAAACTTTAATAGATATCCAGCAAGTTGGCATTAATTACAGACTTATGGAAATTGAGAGAATGCTACACAGATTTCATTTACCATAATGTAATTACTGTAATGTAATTTACTGTAATTACACATGATGGAAAATGACACAATTTTAAAACTTACTGATGAATTATTTAGTCAGGACAAAAAAAGTGTGTAGTTTTTGTGTCTATTAGGGCCTATTAGAAAACGTATAGAATACGGCCTCCACCGAAAAACTAGGTCTAAGACTACTGTCTTTTTGCCATTTCGTCATTTCAATAAAATAGGCTAACAAGGTGTAAAAAAAGTCTTGTCTAGACGACTACTGAAACTATAATAAACATTATAATCTCCTCGAAGAACAAGATAACTGATTCTCCCCATGCAGAAATTTTAGTAAACATAATACAGTATAATGCACTGACACATGCTCCCGCTGGGAGCTTATTTTTTGCCATATGATATAACAAGATACAAAGAGTCAGGGCAATAAACGTAGGCCAATGTACACAATGCTCGTGTGGACCTTACTGTAAATAGTTTTTGTTTAATAAGAGGCACACAGTATGAATGATCCAAAACAAGTAAACATTTCATGAAAATTGAGAATTTCAATTATTTACATGCACACAACCAAAGCTTAAAATCAGAAGGACTCAGTTTGACCTGACCTACCTTCCCAAGGAGATGATTAGCAGCCCCACGGCTTTACTTGGGAATATTTCCAAATTGTCGCCCCAAAATATGTATTTTGGGTCGAAATTTACAAGTTGTTGGCAGGATTTTTTGAAGGGGTTTTGAAATTGTTTGACAGGAACTACTGATGAGTTGATGTGTTGTTGTCTTTTATATATTTTGGCCTCTATATTTATATACTGATCCTGATGTTCTACTTTGGACCCCATTGGAAATAAATCAACTTTAGTGGATTTTTATGGGTCGTCCATGTATCCATTCTCTGTTTCTACTGGCAATTTTTATCTGATTTTTGTATGTCATTGTTTTGTAAATTGTTGTATTTGAATGTATGCTAAATAAATTAATTAAATTAAAATTTTACCCTGAGTTTGAGGATTCCTTTGGGCCAGGGGCTGCAAAGGCCTCCTTGACAGGGTCCTAAAGGTTAAGGGCATGTAGCGTAGGCTACATGTAGTTCACTAGCTCCCCTGCTGCATAGGCTGAAATCTACAGTACCAAGGCTGTGTGGCATTTCTCTGGGCCTAGAGATAGGCCTAGGCTAGAATTAGCGTCACGATTCACTCAGTTCAAGTCTTGTTTATTTTCCCCCTGCGACAAGAGATGCTATCGCGCATGCATTAGCGATTGTCGTAAGAATAGCATATTGGGAGCTATCTTCACAACTCGTAAAAATAGCCACAGCGTAAAAAATATGTTTTCACATTAGTGAATGTAAACAGTGTAACAGGATATTTAATGCTTTAAATTTATATAAGTAGGAAGAAATAGACATATAGTTGTGTGCTTGTAGTGCCGGGACGTACCTAAAATTTACCCGTAGATGTAACAGGCCTCGAAAATGGCCGGGAATTTTACAAGTTAGAGTAGCCGCGGTTTCGGGTGTACAGAAGTGCTGTCAAACCGGGTCTAGTGCTACTACTAGCCTACACTAGGCCTGGCATTAAGTCAACATTGTCTGTTTTGGTAATTAAAAAATCGCCTATCGGTACTTTAGGTCTACCATTATGGTTTCATCTTTTTTAGATCACGGTATAAATTACATAATAAAAATTGAACTTCCAACCACACATCACTGAGGACTGAGGTGGCGGCGTGTGTGAGTGTGTTGAAAATTTGTGAACCATGAATTTGACCAAGTTTGCGTCAAAAATATGAAAGTACATGATCCAAGGCAAGGAAATCTGTTTCTACTATATGTATTCATTTTCTTATTTAGGCCTAATTTCTGTTTTGATATTGAATAATTAAATTCTATCAATCAGTTAATATTCAATCAATCAATTATTTTCTTTTTCTATGATCAATCTGTCAATCTGTCTCCTTTTTGTTCACACTTTTCCAAACTTCCATGGAAATCTGCTTAGTGATACTCTGAACAATTTCTATTGGAAGAGGTGCAATATAAATAAAATACATTATTATTATTATTATTATTATTATTCTCAAGTAAGTATTATGGTTTCGGCCTAGGCCTAGCTTGTGAAAGAACACAGTTTGGGTCATAACACTTAACAGAATTAAAATAAGTTCAAAATCTTCTGTGATGTATTGCTACGAATACCAGGCCTACTATTAGGTCTAAATATCCCAATATATAATATTATTACCAAATTATAGCCAAGGCCTATCTTAGGCCTAGCCTATGGTTTGAAACTTCGCTAACTTTTGGTAGGTCTAGGGCCATCAGTACTTAGAGAATTTACGGTACTGATGTGAACACTCACCATATCGAAATCCGTTCTTTCGGGTAATCTTGCCTCTCTAGACAGCCGAAAAATGTTGGTAGCGTGTGAGCTTTATTACGAACAAGTATAGGAATGAATATAGTTGGCCATTGAACTTCTTGTGGATCAGGTATTTCTGTAGCTGCTACCCAAAAATCGTGAAAAAATACCACATTAAATATAACGCAGACAAAATGCATCGTTTTCAACAACAAACCTTCGAGAAGTCTACCTGAAGTACAAGTGCAGTGAAGCGTTGCGTGGCATGGTGGCGTATGACCTGACAAATGATCAACTTCGAAGTTGAAAGTTCACAATAAAATTTGCATGGTGGTTGGTGGTGGGTGCTTCTTCAATTCGCATTCGATTACGAGAAGAAAGCTGAGGAGAGTGGCATTTTTGTTAGACAACGGTAGTGGTACTGTTATTTTAATAGTAGATCACCATTTTTAACTTGAAATTAAGTTACTAGGTTTATCAATGAAGCTATACCTCTGTGGATTATCCACGGACCTAGAAATGAATCGGCGGTGAGAAGGCAAGCAAGGACAACAACAAAGCAAAGGTGAGTGCGCTGAACCAGTACTAGTAAAGGGGAATCCCCTCCCACTTACCACATTGTCTTTTTTATGCTAGGGAAATTTGGAAAACAGACTCTGAAGATGAACGTCTTCTGATTTGATGGGTGTTTTTCTAAACGATGGTATTCCATAGTTCCACGTATGCCAAGAGTTACTTTAATGTCCAGACCATCTTTTGATTTTACCATTTTATTATACCAAATACACGGCAAGTACTGTGTCAGTGGAAACCGTTCTCGGGCCATTCTGTTTTTGATCTTCATCTTGCCATCTGTTGTCAAGTCTTTTTTACCAAGATCGATGATTCCAGAAATATAATGTGGTTGATTCAGATTTTGATGCTCGTCTGTTTCAAACTAATTTGGATGCACTAGGAATGTGGTCGTATAAAAGTCAAGGTATGCACATTAGTATACATAATAATAAAGTTTGTGATGAAGAAAAAAAGGGGGGGGGGTTGCTTGTGATTTGGAACTGACTTTTAGGGCACATAGAAAAAAATTATTAGATTATCACTATTTTTTTTTTAAATTGATGAGGGAGTACGGTTTATTTTTTTGTTTTTTTTTATCGGAACAATTGAATATTTCACTTTTATTTTTATCGATGAGGGAGGGACTGTTTATATTTGGTCTGTAATAGTAAATATTGTATAAAAACTTGTTTCATTTTATAGTTTTTTAAGGAAAATTTATTTGAAGTCACAAAATTGCATTGTTATTTTTATGCTATTGAATAATTGATGTGGCAAAAATTTATTTTTTTTAAATTCCCGCAGCAATATTTCCCGAATTTTTGACGCGGACGGGAGTGATAATGTAATACATTTTTCTATTTGCCCTTAGCATTATGGTCTTGCTGCTAAGAAGGCCAATACGTATGATAAGCAGGTCATTGAAGTTTTTAAAGAAAAAAAGTTTGAAAAAGTTGTACCATACGAAATTTGTACCATACCTACCAGTCGTTGATACGGAGGAGAAAGTAAAAATATTATTTTATTGTTGGTTTGCAACAACGGCCACTAATATTTAAAAGACTTATAAATAACTGACAGGATTAAAGATTTTAAATAATGAACAAAAAAGTTAACTTCTACATTGTCATGACACCACATTTTAGTCTTCATAATTTTGAAGTTTAAGTTTTTTTCATTTTCTTTTTGTATCTTCTTGCAAAAACCACATTGTGCAAAATACCATTGTGGTGATATAATTTTTTTCCGCTTTAAAGTAATGTTGTTATGTAAACAGTGTAGTAATGGGATGGTTAACTTTCTGGAGATTTCAAGGCAGTGGTGGGCGTAATAAAAATAAAGAAAAACTTTTATTTCCATTTTTGGTGGTGGTGGTGCGCTAATTGGCCAATTGGCCCGGCTCGCTAAAAAAAGGTATAAAAAAGTCTTGCCTTATCACTTAAGAATGTATAATAAATACTCAAAGTATTGAAATGCACACCATCATGTTGGGATTCAATATTTCGACATTAACTACTGTCATCATGGGATGATGAAATAGTTGAATCCCATCATGATGGTGTGCTGATGACATAATTAATGTCGAAATATTGCTTTATTAATACTTGGTTTTTTCAATACTTTGGAGTATATATTACACAGTTACCAACCTGAGAGATTTGAAATGCGTGACTACACCAGCCGAGGGGTGGGGGCGGGATCCAGAGGCGGGACCCTGTTGGGGGTCTGGGCCCTTCAGTCACATAATCCAAGATAATACTTAGTGCCTATTTTGCTGGGTTGTTTTGTTTGGGAAAGAGAAACTGCTCAGTGGATTGATTCTTGAATGAAATAATTACGAAAACTCTGTAATGACTCAAGTTACTGCATGGCCATTTTTATATATTTAATAAAACCAATTTCTTCTAATTTCAAATACATTTTTTCCCTGAATTTGTGATAAAATTCGTTCATCATGCATAGACTTGCGTTAAATGCATGACAAATATATGATCACGCATGTGTTTCTGCAAAATGCGTGTTTCATCCAAAATCACTTTAAAATGCAGGACCATCCCGCATGATGCGAGACGGTTGGTAACTATGATGTATTATACCTTTCGGTTTATCAAGTTGTAGAATGTGAAGCTGTGGAATTTACAAACAAACCGGACAGGGTAAAGATTTATGAGTCACTTTTTCTTGATTTTCACAATATTTTATCAGTAATCCAGGATTATAAACCCAGGATTATAAATGGGTACCGGTACCTGGTAGGATGGTGTGGCATTGCAAATATTATTCTGAATCAGTATTAAATTGCACCCACGACTAGGAGTATTCCCCAGGGAGTGGATCAAGGAGGTTGCACTTTGTTGCTGGTTTGATTATGGATTCTATGGATAGGGGTAATAATAAAAATATTGCCAGCAGCTTGTATCCCTTGGCAAAAAGTGCGGTATAAATCTCTATATTTTTAATCTCTGCCAGGAGATATGTTTCCAGTCGTGTAAGTTTGTGTGTGTGTGTGTAGAGATAATACCACCCTAGGGTTCCAGGTGCATGCCCCCGCAAAATTTTTGTTTTCTAGACACCCAAAAATAATCTCTGAGGCCCCCTAAATCTTCCCCTTACTATAATAATAAATCGTTCAAGTGTTTTTAACTAGAAGTAAGGAATTGGCAGGTATACACCTAATACAATAGAATTAGTTTCGGTTGGCTGCATTAGTGTTTTTAAGTAGGTGGTGGCTGAAAAGTAAGTGAGTTGTCACATGGTTTTAGTGTCATTATTTGGAAATAAAATGTTTCAATACTATATGCTGCTTAGATTCTGTGTTAACAATATAACATGTGTAGTAAAGTAGGCTGATAGTGAATTTTGGTGAGATCATTTTGGATTACAAAAATGCCCAGTCTACAGTAACAAGGAGTCCCCAAAACCCAGACTAAAAATGGAAATAGTGCCCCTCTTTGAAATAAAAAGTGTTTGGGCAAGTTACTGTGTGTTTTTGAAGAGGAGCAGAGTGGAGAACTCTCTTCAAGGTTCTCTTTGATTTGTACATTTCGATATTTGAATACGATAGTGTAAAACCTTGGCATCATTTATCATATTGAAAACATGCTGATGTTGTTGAAATTTTAAAAGATTGCGATGCACTTCAGATCTGGTTTTCCGCCATTGATGTTCAAGTCTCTTCTTAACTTATTAGCATATTCGATTTCTGGAGAATACTATGGGCAAGGTGGTCGAATTGTCATAATACGTGTTTTAGTTAGGGCATCCGAAGTGCACTCTACTGTAGTACAGCATTATAATTGTTAATAACGGTATCCAAATCAGAGGAGAGACCACAATTTATGAGTTTATCAGACATTTCTCAAACCTATAGTACATGGCTTATATCCAATGAATTAAATATATATTCTTCACTAATACTGTACTCAACCAATTTCCATCAAATATACACTGTTTTAAGAAAAATTCATGCAGAATCTAAAAATACCAAAAACTAAATTTTGAACTTTTCCCACAAACAGCTGGTTTTTTGCCAGAACGCATCAAATATAGTGCTTTTCATGAAGATCAGAGTGCTGTTCACTTTTTTGTTGTATTTTTTTACTAAAGCCAGAACTCACTAAGCCCGACGGTCGTTGGCCGACATGATAATATGTAGAACGCAAGAACACGACGCGTGCGCAATGGATTGTTTTAAATGAAAATCCATTCAGACTGCCACCGACAATCAGCAGGTGACGCTGCATCGTCTAACACTTACAGGGAGCGGAGTTGGGATCGTCGCACGACGCAGTGAGTCCCCGATTTTATAGACAGTAAATCTAAATCTATGTACAGTAGATACTCATCAACGCCTGTTCAGCATCTGGATGAGGGTAGGGGCTTGAAATGAACCATTACACCGGGGTAACACCCTCCTACTCGTCTCGAAAGATGTATTGGGTTCTTTATAATGCACGAGCCATTGTGTACACTGGGTATACGTTTGATAGTCCTTCTCCGAGAAGATTGCTCCACCTCCAGAGCCATAGGTGAGCGTGTGCTGTTCAAACCAGCGCCGATATTATGGCTGTAGGTAGCGATGAAATACTTCTAACAAATTACAGACCATACATAAAAACCATTAACATTTAATATGGCGAATTCCTTTACAATACTGTATTCATTAAATAAAGAAATCAACTTTCTAGTAGTGGCAAACATATATTTTGGCTCGTCAAAATTTTACTTTAAGACCTCCCATCATAGATGATGTGTTTTTTTTTCTTTTCCCTCCCTTTGTAATTTACTTGTTATATCTATTGTTACTTTTCTTGTAATATAAGCATCACAATATGTAATTCTAGTGTGGTATAACAAATGACAATGGATTTAACCTGACTTAATGGGATATTCCAGACTATTCCATTTTATTAAATCTGACCAATCAGTACTGTAGCTACTGTACTATTGTAGTACTTGTTAACAATATGTATTTTTTTAATATATAGTATTAACATGTTGTTTTTGCAATAAACATCTTCTATGAATTCAGATGAAATGACCTATGGTATATACATAGACAACACTGTGGCATGCAACTGAAATTCATGTGTGTATTTCTTATTTTCAGTTTATTTGGATCAATGCAATGAGCTGAAAACATTGTTGTTATCAAGTCTGACTGAAAGCTGCTGATACTGTAGGCAAATCACAGTCAACAGGTGTTAATACCAACTTTTTTTGGTAAGTTTTCCAAAATTGTTTGGAATTGTAATATCATCATTAATTTGCAGAGGTTGAAATTAACCATAGGCCATACTTTTTGTAACACAGTTATTTCTAAATGATGTAGTCCATAGAAATACCAGTGGTATTTATTTATTTCAACTTTATTTATTTTGAATGGCACGCTAAATGCAAAGGCACTTGTTTTTGTTGCACTTCAGATATAATTTTACATAAAAAGTGATAAATTCAAAATGAAAAATGTATGATAAATTTTACATAAAAGAATTAATTATGGAATAGAAGAAACCAATAATTAAGTGAGAGCAATTTTGCAAATGTATTATTTGAAATTCTGGAAATCCCTAGTTACTGTATGTTGCTTAGGAGGTTGGTCCAAGCTCACAGATGCTCTATAATAAAAGGTTGTTTTCTTTGATGTGTTCCGTTGTGAAACTAAAAGATGATTATTTATCTGATAATTTTTTTTTTAAATGTTAAGTTGGAAAGTTCAAGTCCATTTAAAAGACATTTAAAAGTTAAGATTAATTTGATCTCTCAATATGTTATTCAGATAGCCAGTTTAGAGTAAAACTCTAGTGGCGATTTTTTTTAAAATGGAGATATAAAAAAAAAAATTATATTCAAACTTTAAGTCAGAGAGTGCAATTTCCGGCCATCAAGAGGTGCCATAATCACAAATTTTCTTACCTCAGTCCCAATCATGATGAGGTTTAGGTGGTATAGATCCTCTATCTGTGAAAGTTCCTCCCCGGGCCTCCCTCTACTGTATTTTGAATTCCTGGATTCACCACTGAACTCCTTCTAAACTCAGGTGCTGTAATATATTCAAAAGAAACAAAAGGTAATAACAAAATTGAACGGAGCAGTTAGACACCATACAAAAGAACAATAATCAGATATTGAGAAAACTAATGCTGAGTCTAAATTATCAAATTTTCATTGACAAAAAGCTGATTGTATGCTCATATATTCATGCTGTGCCTAAAGTATAATGGTCATTATGTGATTTTGTCATGACCATTTTGGGAATGTCAGTTGTTTATGTCAAATAAAAATTGATTTCTGAACAGGACTTTTATAAAGTATGAATTCCATCATTCACTAACATTGAACCATGGTGTAAGCTTGCTTTGGGTTAGTCATACAAATCAATTTTTTCTATTGTCAATGATATGGAATTTTCTAATTCTATTTTTAGATACAGTGTAAGTTTTAAGTAATGGTACAAAGAAATTAAAATATCGTAATAGATTGTATGTAGGGACTACTCAGTTTGCAAGTCAGATTTAATAATAATAATAATAATAATATTAATATTAATAATAATAATAATAATAATAATAATAATAATAATGATAATAATAATTAAAAAAAATACTGCTGATAATAAAACAATAGAACTTTTCTTATTTAAAAGACAAAATTTAAAGGTCATCTACTTAACTCTTGATCAAGAAACTTTCCATATTGTGGACCATAGACTGCAACTGCCCTACAGTATTTTTGGTGGGATCTTCCTACTTCTGTGTGTTATGTCCTGCTGTCCCCCTCAACACCTAAATTGTACAAGCAAATGTATTATCTATATTTTTTCTATTTATATTTATTATAATTTTTTCAAATTGATATATTTAATTACTTAGTTTTACGAATTGATCTTTTATTATAGCATCCCACTCAAGGGAAATAAATTTCCTTTTAGAAAGACTGTCTTCTGTTTTATGCTTTTTGATAAGTGAAATGAGACAAATAAAATGAAATATCCAAGTTCAAAGTTTGTAATTCAAAAATTTAATTGAGTACAGTATTTAAGGTTTTCTCATTTTTTTTTTTTAGCAGAGACTACATCTTTTAATAATAGCCTATGTATACTGTATTCTATTTATTGTACGTTGAAGCATATCCAAAAATTATCTAATGGTTGATTTTGAAGGTTTAAACCATGAAGTTGGTCTTCATTGATGACAATGTGTCTAGATAATCACTGTGTATTAATAAAAGTTGGAAGGTCCAAATTATTTCAGGCTTCCCTTTTGTCTTCATCCCTTGAAACATTATTTTGGACTTTAATAATCACTTTGATTATTGTAGCAAATAACCAGTACTTCCCAAAATACTTGCAAAAAATTTGCAAGTGATTCGGTTGGGAATCAAACAAACGGCCTCTAGATAACTATGTAGCCTGGCGCCATAACCACTAGACTACCGAGCTTACCTTTTAGAGACTAGTGTTAAAAAATGGTCCTAAAGTAGTAGGGAGCCAGTTCAATTTTGTTGTTCCTCCTGTCAAAGGCATTGCCGTCTCAACTTTTTATCTCCATTTGAGATTGGAAATCTCTTCCAGACACAATGATAATTGTTAGATCGCAGAGTAATTTTAAAACTAAACCTAAATCGTTTTGCCATTTGAATTTTAAACATGTTTTTAATGTAAGCTTCTCTTTTAAATAATTGATTCTTGCCTGTGAAGATTTTATCTTTCATAACGTATTCGCCGCGTACGATCTTTGCGTGCATGCTGTAACAATCACAATTTACAGCCATGGTTACAGCATACACGCAAAGATCGTACGCGGTGGATACCCTACGCGAGGCTATTTACACGACCTGTAATACTTGTAATACTTTTTCGCCAGTGACGTCATGGTAAAATCGTATATAAATATAATCGCCTATAACTTCGTAAAAAAAAGCCAAAAAACGATTTTAAGGTTGATTCTATTATTAATGGCATATCAAAAATCCTCTCTAGAACAAAAAATCATTTTGCTAGTTCTCTTTTAAGGCGAGATTTTTTTTATTCCCTGTATCGCATACTTATTTTTTTAAAGAGTATCGGAGAAAGGTGGAATAAAAATAAAAGTAAAATTTTGTTTTATTATTTAGCAAATATTTTTGCCAAAATCATCCAGACAAAGGAGAAAATAAAAATAAAATTTTATTGGTGAATGTAAAATAAGATGGTTAAATGCTTCAAATATATATATTTAGGAAGAAATATACATATCTTATCTTTGGAGATTTCAAGGCAGCGGAGGGCGTAATGAAAATAAAGAAATATTTTTTTTTTTCCTGAAATTTCCACTTTATCGTGGTGGCTGGTGCGCTAATTGGCCAAAAATAAAATTTTATTTTTATTTAAAATCATCAATATTTGCAGTCGGTGGGTTCACTAAACAAGGTATAAAAAATGTTTTGCCTAACCATGATACTCATTGAAGATCATACTCTAAAACTTAAGGCAGATCTGCAGAACTTATGTTTATTCATAATAGTTTCTATGTGGCATGTAATCAATGGTCCCTGTCAAAAAAAAGATAAGTTGTACAGTGTAACTTTTTGGAAAATGTATTGTCAATATGATGTTCATCTGGTTTGCGTTGTCAATAGTTTGTTGGTCTAATGTGAACGATGTTAAAAATGTAGTTCACGTCTACCTGGGGTTCCCCAGGTTTTTTTTTTTTATGTCGAAATTACCAAAACATGATTGGACTAAAGGCCTAATAATTTTGATGGCTTCAAAATATTTGTTAGTTTAGATGGTCCAGAGATTTATTCATTCAGGAAGTGTTCCCTATGACAGAAGGCTTACCTGATCTAAATAAACAGCAACGTCTAACATGAGAAGCAAAAAAATAAATAAATAAAAAATGCTAAATAAATTAGGGAAAAAAAATTGTATAAGTTAAGACCTATTTCATTATAATAATATGGAATGCTCCTGCTATTGATGATTTTCTATCTGTCAAAAGTTTTGAAGCAGCTTATTGTACAAAAGAGATGGTCATGGTTTTGTTTGTTAATGTGTACAGGGGTCCCAAGTTGGAAGCAAGGTACTACTGTGAGATCCGATTAAATGAACATTCTTTAACATCCTACAGGTATCTAGATTTATTTAGGTGCATGCTGTGATGGATATCACCAGACTTCTGGGAGTCAATTCATTTAATCAGTAAAAACATGCAAATATAAACTGAACCGGGTTTCAATAGAGGGATTTAGCAATGATTGTTTACAGGTGGTCACATGACCTAACTTGGGTATACATGAAAAACATTACAGTGCGATAGCATATGAAAAGATAATGTTATGGTTACGAAAACAACCACCCACTGTTAACGTGATAAATACTGTAAATGGCTAGGAAAGGCAATCCGAATGTTCAAAATAGTGCTTATTTACTTATCCTAGCGTTCTCCTTGGATTACAGTATATGCTTTGAAACTTAGGTGATCCTTCATAAACCTTAGCTGGCCCAAACATCGCAGCGTTGTTCGCAGGTTGAAGACCATCATGCATACCTAACCATGCCATAGTGTACAGGGTCCTAGGCCTAACATTTGTCCAAAAAAAATCTTAATGTTTGCGGCCAGCATCCTTTACAGCATTAGCGAACCAAAGGCAAAATTCTTAAGTTTAATTTGAAATCAATTTGGTTTACTTTACTGGGAATTATGATGATCTTTACAGCAATAAACAAGGGACGGCCACGATAGTAATCTCCATGTAAAACACCGCTGTGTCAGTGTATTGTTTATATCCAACACATCAGGTTTGGATTCTGATCCCTCCACTTCTGAATAACCCTTGCATGAGAGTTAGGTGTGTACACAGCACATTCTATAGATGAATGGAATTGTCCATGCTTTTCTATTATACTAAATCTGGCCAATCAATAACTACACTTTAGTGTACGTATGTTCAGTGTTTTGAAGATAACCGTTCTATCAAAAAAATGCCCTAAAAGCTGTGGTATACAATTGATTTAAATGTCTTCAATTCATGTGTACATTTCCTTTATTATGATTCAGTGAAGTTTGCAAGATTTGCTGGTGGATAGTTATAAGAAAACATTTCTATAGTCATAAAGTCTGGCTGAAAGCGGCTGATGAAACAGCTAAGCAAATCCGCTTTTATCATTGATGTAATTTGACTGCGTATTAAATCACGCTTATTGATGTCCATTACCAAATTCTCTGGTAAGTATAGCTAGG